GTGGATGATCGTGATGAACAAAACGGATCGAACGCGAGAGAGAGAGAGAGAGAGAGAGAGAGAGAGAATCGTACAACGAATCTCTTATGTAAATAATGCAAGATTTTGGGAAACTAAATCTGAAACGAAAACAGAAGAAACTGAAGAAGAAATGGCGAATGAAAAAACATCGATTATTTTTTGTTCAGTCCAAAAAAAGATTTCAAATTCCCTGAGGATTTATTTATTTTTCTTCACTGGAATTTTCCTATTTAGAAAATGAAAAAAGTAAAAAATGAAAGCAAAATGAACACTTGAACAAAAAAACAAACTTACTTTTTTTTCGATTAATTTGTACTGACGAATTGCAGAAAAAAAAACTTGAACCAAAATAAAAATAAAACGAAAATCCGGAAATTTTTCCGGAAAATTTCTTTCGAAAAAAAGTTGGAAAAATGAGAAAGATAGGAAGGAAGTTGATGCTACTTGAAGTATATTTTTTTTCTTGGGTAACTTTCCTGGAAAGTTTCCGGGAAACAAAACAAAAGTGTGAGAATGAAGATTGGAAATTCAATAACAACATTGTATAAACATTCAGGAATCGTGATTTTCATCTAAGATTTTTCGTTTTGTTTTTTACTTTACTTTAGTTTCGAAACAATGAAAGAAAGTTCCTGAAAATGGAATGTTTTTATGTTATTCTTCTTGGTTTTGTTTCTCGGTTTGAAATTAATGAGAAAACAACAGAATGTGAAAAAAAGGGTTGGCAAACGCGGATACAAAAGATAGGATTCTTTTGTTCCGATTTGTCACGGAGTGTAGAAATAGCGGAGGAATAATTTTCTTCGGAAAAATAATTATTTTTTGGTTCAAGTTTTTGCGAAATTGAAGGATTTTCTTTCCGAAATGAATTTTGTAATTTTGTAATTTTTCATTTTAAAAATTTTGTTGCCAAATTTTAATCATGCATGATTAAAATTTGTTTTTTTTTAAATTATTCGGGTTTCGGGTTTAAACAATTGAAGAAAATTCTCGGAAATTTGCTCAGGAATTTGGCGAGAAAAAAAAATGTTTTTCCCAGAAAATTGAATATGATTTTTTTTTTTGCAATATTGCCGGTAATAAGCCGGTAATAATCGATTTCAAAAACAGAAAACAAAATGCATTTCGGGTAATAACGGTGGTGAAGATCTAACCATATAATTTTCTTCATTTTGGAACAATTTTTTTTGGGCCGGTTTTCATCTAAATAGTTTTTTGTTTCTGGTTCAGCCTCTTTGATATAATAATGTCGCCGTTATATTCGGTTGAATGATTCGGACAAAATATAATCATCTGTGTAGTTGATAATGATGGTGTGACAAACATCCCAAACAAAACAAACAAAAACAAAAAACAAAAAACATGATTATTTGGAATAGATTTGATTTTTCTGTTGAAAATGAAAATGAAAATGATGATTTTGGGAAAAATTCTTTGTTTTTTGTTGTTGTTGTTGTTTTTTCGAAACCAATTTTTCAGATTTGTTCGTTTGTATTTTAAACGATTCGATGCAATAAAACATGTTTTGCCATAATAATAATGATCATGATCATTACAAATCACGCAGAATAGACAATTTTTTTCGTTAAAATATTCTATAGGAATTCATTTGAAAAGATTATTATTTATCAGATAATTTATAAATCAAAATGATGGCAATTCATTCATTCATTAAAATTGATGATAATTTTGATTTTCAAAGAATTTTATTCGAAAAATTTTTCTGGATTCGCGAATATTTTTTCAAACATTCGAAACATTCGAAAAAAAAATTGTGTAATAATAGGTAGGTAGTAGTAGTGGCATAGGCCAAAGGTCGAATGGTAATTTTTTTTTTTCTTAAATATTCAGTAGTGGTAGTAGTTTAGATCAAAGTTGATAAGAATATTATTTCTATTCTAACCTTAATATGATACCCTCAAAATATATCAATATTTTTGGATGAAAATAGTCGAATTCTGCTCCAAATAAAATAGGTAAAAGGTATTCAAAATGTGATGACAACAGAAAACATTCGATTTATTTTTTTTAAAGAATATTCTTGATGGTGTTAAGGTCGAGCCGCACGGGAATCTATTTTTTTTGACCATCATCAACATTACCATCCATTTGTTCATTGAGAATTCTTTTTATATTCACGCGCACATCTTTTGAACTCTCTTCTCCTCTCTATATAAAAATGTGTGATTCTGATTGTTATTTCTGGGTTCATTTAGGAATCTTGTTTGGATCAGTGTTGGATCAGGCTTCCATATAATGAACAACAACAACAAACAAAACGACAAGAAGCAATAAATGAAACAGACGGCGAACAACGACCTTTCAGAATTTTTTTCTTGTTTTCTGTTGTTGACGATTCGAATCTGTACATCATCATCATCATCGAATCGGCTTTTTTTTCCCTGTGAAAAATTTCTGGATGCGTCGAATTTCAATTCTCAAAATCTTTTCAAATAAAAAAAAGGAAATTCTGGATTCTATATTCGTCTTGTGGTGTGATGTGTGTTGGTGTTAGTGTTTGATGTGATGTGTGTGCAAGATTTTGGTTTGACGAAATTGCAAAAACAAAAAAAAGATTTGCCACTTCTGTCCTGTATAAACACAGAATACAACAACAACAAACGAACGAACGAATCTTACGCAATGAATTAGTGATAGATTTTTTTCATTTCTTCATAGATTCTATTCGGCCATCATTATTATGAATTTTTGGAAAAAATGAAAACAAAATTTGCATTTTTTTTTTTGGATATCTCTCTTCAAAAAACCCTAAGTGAATGCAACCATCATCATATTCTACCCAATCAACTAACTAACTAAAAAAACAACTCTTTTTTTTCTTTCTTTTGTTTGTGATGTGTTTGACAATCACTCTGTGTTTGATAATAATAACCACCTTTGAAAAAAGCAAGTTTTTTTTCCATTTTGTTTTGTTACGCTGCTTCTTTTGAATCAATTCAATTCGAAAGAATCTACCGAAGACGACGACGACTCCAACAACAACTTCTCACATCACATCAAACACTCGTATCATCATCATCATTATACACACGCGACCGTATATTTACCCGAATCATAATAATAATTTCCTTCATCATCATTATCATCATCATCATTATATGCTTCTACATTTGATTCTGTACACATTTTTTGATTTCGTAAAGAAATTTATTCATTCATTCAACCATTGATGATTATTATGATGATTATTATGAACATCATTTGATTTTTGAACTACAACAACAACGACAACGAATAATAATAAGTGTGATGAGAAGGAGAAATGCGATGTTAAACCATTGTTTTTGTTTCGGTTGTTAATTATGGATTTTTTTTTGTTGAAAAAATTTGAAATTTCATAAACCAATCAACCACACCAAGCAAACAACGAAAAAACAGTTAGTTACCGTGCCAATTCTCTCCTTTTGATAAATCTCTTCTCACTCTATGTGTGTTTGAATGGAAAAATGTTTTGTTAATATGATAGGATGTCATTGATGATGATGATGATTATTAAATTGTTGAAACCATAGAGACTTTTAATAATACTGAAAAATCAAAAAAAAAAGAAGAAGACTTTCGGTGATTTTTGTTTTGTTCGCCTGTTTTCTGTTGATGGTGTGTGTGTCCTGTGTGCTTCTCTTTGAATCCAATGTTTTGCAAGCCGAAGCAACAACGAAAACAAAAAAAAAAGAAGATATCCTGCATGAACACACAGAAAAACCTCGTTTTTTGAAAAATAAAAAACCCCAGACAACAAAAAACAAACAACGAAAACGGCAATGCCAATGTGTTTGTGATTGTTCGTAATTATCATTCATTTTTGTTGAGTTAAAATCCACCGACAACAACAACACATACACACAATGTTGATTTGACAGGAGAGTAATATCCAGCATCGTTGTTGTTTTTGTTGTTGTTTTGTTTCGCTAATCAATAAATCGTCGTTGCAGTTGTCATTTTTTTTTTGTTTGTTCAAAAAAATTATTTCACCTGAGATGTGATTTGTTGTTGTTGTTGTTTGTTGTGAATCAAATTAGTGAGCCACTGTTTTTTTCCCACCTTGTTTATGGATCGAAAAACAAAAGATTCAACGATGATAATCAGCAACAACAACAATGGTTTCTTGAAGAAATGATTGAAAGAATCAAATTATCAACCGGTTAACGGAATTCATATTGTAAAACAACAACAACGACTACAGTGAAGAGAAAAATGTACGAAAATAATCGAAAATATTGTCCAGCAACAAATTATAGTCATTATTTTTTAAATTTTCATCATCATCACAATCGCCATCATCGTCATTATCATCGAAATTTTTCTATTCGAACATTATCATTTTTTATATTCATTATTTGGTTACAAATATTTCATAATGTACAATCATCATCATCATCAGCTCAATTTGATGAAGAATCAAGTGCAAAACAAATGGTGGTGGCTTCATCCACCACCACCACCATCATTCCTTCATCATCATCGAATGATAGTTTTTATCAACAACAACAACAACAGGAAAGAGCTTCAACAACAACAACAACAACATTGTCATTATCATCAAACACTATGGAAACAACGGAAACAACAAATGAAATTCCTATTACATCAACTACTGTAATCAATACAATTTCAATGGATTTTCAAAATTCTGAAGGTTAGTTATCACATCCTTGTTTTGTTTTTGTTTTTGTATTTTAATTATCAATCTAATCACTTTGTTTTTTCCTATCTTTTCTCTTCTGCAATAGATCAAATCAATAAATCAAATACATCGATTAATTCAACATCCATGAATGAAACTGAAAATTCCTTCAACAACCATCAAACATTATCAACGAATGCTAATACATTATTTAAACCGGAATTCATTTTAAATCTAACTGCAAGTTCATCATTTGTATCAAATTGTACGGATGTTGAATTTTATTGTGAAATATTATTACCATCAAAATCAATTCCGGATAATGATAATAATAATAAAATAAATTCATCAACAATTTGGTGGACATTTCGTGACCAAAATGTTTCATCATCAACACTTCCAGGTGGAAGAGTGATAAATCGTCCAGATAATTTATATTTATCAATATTAAATATTGAATGTGCTCAATTTGGTGTACATGATGGTGATTATAGTTGTCATTCATCATCATCATCATCATTATCATCATCGACAGAAATCTCAGGATCTCAACAACAATTTTCAATTATAACAAATAGTTCAAATTTACATTTTGAAATTTCGGGTAAGTTGTTGTTTATTTCATTCAATGTTTTTCCATTGATTTGTAAATAACGTATCCATACTTTTTTTCTCTCTCTTCGATCAAGTTCTGGTAATGGAATCAATCGATCAACAAAATCGTACAATAAGTGAAGAAATTGATTCTTCAGTACAATTACGTTGTCATGTACTTGGTTATCCTAAACCAAATATTATTTGGCAAAGATATGATCCAAAAACATTGATTACAACCGATATTGAATCAGATGGTCGTATTGAAATTGAACATCAATTTTTACCGGAATCATCGGATGATCTAGTAGAAAATCAAATAAATCCATTAAAATTATTTCAAAGTATATTACATTTTGAAACATTACGTCGTTCAGATAATGGTACATATATTTGTCGTGCAATCGATATTCATCAAAAATTAGAAAAACCAAAAACACAAGAATTTAATGTAATCGTATTGGAAGTTCCGGAAATTCATATCGAAAAAATTGAAATCGAAAACAAAACAACAGCTATCATTTCATTTGTTATTGATTTCGATGGTAATCTTCCAATTGAAAAATTTATACTTGAATTACGAAACTATACGAATGATGATGATTATGATGATAATCATAATGAAAATTTAACTAGATGGATCCGGTTGGAAACACCATCACCCGAATCAATATTAATCAAACATAATTATTCAATAATAAATGTAGATAATCTTGTACATGCAGCTACATATGGTTTTCGTTTAGCTGCAACAAATCGAATTGTTGGTCAATCAGAATGGAGTTTGATGAATATAACCGTACCAGCCGATGTACCTAGTCCAATTAATAATGTACATTTATTATCCAAATCAAATGAAACATTATTATTTGGATGGAGAAGACCATTACATGATAATGGTGCACCAATAATACAGTTTCATCAAATACTTAAAGATAATAATAATGTGATAATTTGGAATCAAACAATCAATAATACACAATCACGTAATAAACATATGTCATTATTTTCAAATCTACAACCAGGTACACATTATTCATTTCAAATTCGTGCCTGTTCACAGATTGGTTGTGGTGATTGGTCATCAATATTCGAAGTGATTACATCGGATGGTCATTCGGATCCACCGAAAAATATTCATATTGAATGTTTTTTTGATGAAAAATTAATACAAACAAATGCAACAATCACATGGGAAGAACCATCAAATCCACGTGGTTTAATTGTTGGTTATAATATATCATTACGTGGCCATACAACACAATCACAAAGATTTTTTGAATCATTTGAACAATCATATCTGGTGAATAGTAATCAAACATTTTTATATGAAACAATATTGAAACCAAATTCAAATTATACTGTAAGAATTTGTGCAATAAATAAATCTGGATGTGGACAATTATCACCATTAACCTCATCATCAATGTGCCAATCAAGTCCAACTGTTCCGTCCGAATTTCCTTCTGGTATACGTTTAGAACGTATTCGATTATCATCATCATCGCCATCATCGCCATCATTATCAATTTCAACAAGTAATAGCCATTATTCTGGTCTTACAGATAAAGAAACTTTACATCAACCATTTATTGGTCAACAACAACATAATCATAATCATTATCAACAACAACAACAAACAAAACAACCAAAACCAGAACGACAATTAAAATTATATGTGCCAAGAATTTCCGAACGTAATGGTCCATTTCGTTGTATTCGCGTTATTGTGATACGTCTTCCATCTCCCAATTCTTCTTCTCCTGCTTCTTCTCTATCACCGATTTCATCAACAAATATTTCATCGCAATCACTATCGTATAATATTAGTAATAATAATACTGATCAACAACAACAACAACAAAGTGATATATTTAGCCATTTTCTTGATCAAGAAAATGGTCAAATTCCATTAAGTACTTATCGAATGGTACATTCAAAATATAATACAAATACATTTGGTGCTTATATTGCAAAAGAATTTACATCCGAATCATTTCCAAATGAAATAATATTAGGTGATGGTAGAATATCACGTTGTTATAATGATGCATTAGAATATGATCTCAAATCACGTATTAAACATAGTCAACATTATCAGAAACAACAACAACATTTGAAACCCGATGAACATATTGGAGGTTTGGATGATAATCGATCTCCAAGACGAATTAATTATGAGCTTCAAACAACTAGACAACCATCAAATAGTTCACAAGAAAATGAATCCATAAATGATGAAATTTTCGATTTAGATGATGAACATCTAGTTGAAGATTTAGAATTATTTCCAAATACATATTATTCAGCTTCAATTGAAGTTACTGTTATGGCTGTTAATCATACATTATTAGTTGAACAAAGTCCATGGACTGAACCGATTCGTACTGTACCAATATTGACAATGTTTTCACAATCAAATAATTCATTTTCCGAAACAACAACTGGAATTATATATGGAACTTTCTGTGGTTTATTATTGATAATGATATTATTTTTTTCAATACTTTGTTTTCTGAAACGTAAAGCAACCGAAGCAACAACACCAGTTTTATTAGATGATGAAAGAATTGGTTTAACAAATTTTCTTCGACGTACATTGATCGGTCGAAAACATAGTAAAGATCATCAAACACTTTTTTATCAATTAAATTTTAATTCAACACAAGCTGTAAAAAAATGGGCATCCAAACCGATACCGATACAGAATTTAGTGGCCGTTTTTCAACAACGACGTACCAATTCGGATTTTCTTTTTCAAGCCGGTAAGTTATTCTACGAAAAAAAAAATTATTGTTTACCATAATAATTTGACTTTTAAATTATGATTGATTGATTGGGTTTTCTTTTTTTGGTTGATCGACCACATTTCTTATTATTAACCGCATATGTTTATTTGATCTTTTCTGGTTGTTTTTTTTTCTTCTATTTATAGAATTTGAATCACTTCCTGAAAGTTTTCCGGATCGTACAACAATTGAAAGTGATCGAATTGAAAATGTAACAAAAAATCGATATCCGGACATAAAATCATATGATCAAACAAGAGTAGTTTTGAAAAAGATTGATGATATTGAAGGATCGGATTATATAAATGCTGATTTTGTAAATGGCGGCCTTGTTAATAAACAGGACAAACGTTTTATTTGTGCACAGGGACCAACACAAAAAACTGTACCAGATTTTTGGCGTATGATATATGAACAACAATGTTGGTATGTTTTAATTCAACATTGCTTTCTGGTGACTTTTTTTTCATCGTTGAATTCATTATTATTCTTAATCTGATTTATATTGATTCATCATTCTTTTTCATTTATTTTTTGTTTTTTCATTTTGTTGTTTTCCGTTTTTTTTCTTGCAGCATAATTGTAATGTTGACCGGCATCGAAGAACAAGGCCGAATAAAATGTGCACAATATTGGAATGATAAAAATGATGATAAAAATGATGATGATGATGATGATGAACAATCATTATCATTTCCGGATGCATTTCCATCAAGTCCATTTATTATAACTACTATATTTCGTCGTGAATATTCTGATTATGTTATTAGAAGATTTAATTTAAAAAATACTAAAACTAATGAATGTCGTGATATAATACATTTTCATTTTGTTGCATGGAAAGATTTTCTTGCACCAGATCAACCATCATGGTTACTTCGTTTTATAAAACGTGTTAATGAACATTATTGCGTTGATCGTGGTCCAATTGTTGTACATTGTTCGGCTGGTGTTGGACGTACTGGAACATTTATTGCAATTGATTCGTTAATTAGTCGGATTGATGATGGTGCACAAGATATTAATGTATTTGAATGTGTTTCTAGTCTACGTTATCAACGTAATTTTTTAGTACAATCATTACGACAATATATATTTGTTTATCGTGCCATAATGGAATATGTTGAATTTGGTGATACTGAAATTGAAGCTGGACATATACGTGATCATTATAAACAATTAAAAGAACAGAAAACTGAATCCGGTAATGGTGTTTTTACTGAATTTGAGGTAAATTTGATAATTTTCGAATGAAAACATTTTTTTAAATAATTTTTTTTCATCATTAAAAAACAACAACAACAAATAGAAATTGAGCGAAGTATTCGAAGAACCAAAATCCTGTGTAGTTGGCCAATTGGAAACAAATAAACATAAAAATCGTTATTCATTCATTATTCCATGTAAATTCATTTTAAATGAGAAATTTGTGTATTTGCAATGTTGAATTGATTCTTTTTTTTTGTTGTTTTTTTGGGTAGATGATATAAACAGAGTGATATTGAATCCATCGCAAGATACTTGCTATATCAATGCATCGTTTATTCAGGTAAAAAATGATGATCATGATTGATTGATTGATGATGTTCAATTTTTGTTATCTTTTTTGTTTTTGTTTTGTTTCACCTTTAAAGGGTTATGATCATACACTTTCATTTATTGTTGCACAAGATCCACTTGAACATACTGTTAATGAATTTTGGTGGATGATTGCTGAACATGCTGTTTCAACATTGGTTATGTTAGCTGAAATTGGTGACGGGCAAAATAAATGTCATCAATATTGGCCACAATCAGTAGATTCAACATTTGATTGTGATTTTGTTAAAGTAAAACTGATTGAAGAAGAAATGTTTCAATATTATGTTAAACGTGTTTTTCATATTACTAAAAAGAAGGTTAGTGATTTTTCATTGTTTGTTTAATCTTTGATATTAATTTTTTTTTAAATGAAACATCCAAACAGACTAATAAAAGCCATGTTGTAAATCAATATCAATTTTTTTCATGGAAATCCGGTGTTGTTGTACCCGAATCAACCAAATCATTAATCACATTGACCGATGCGGTTTTGTTGGCCAATAACCCGAATAATAATAATAATAATAATAATGGTCAAGAAAATATAAATTATACGAAATATAATGGGAAATTTTCATCATCATCATCATCATCATCATCACCCATTTTAGTTCATTGTAGTGGTGGTGGTGATCGATCGTCAGTATTTGTTTCATTTGCTAGTCTTGTACGACAATTACAATTGGAAGAAAGAGTTGATGTATTTCAAACAGCTAGATATACAAAATCACAACGACATTGTATGTTACAAACTATTGTAAGTAATCATTATTCTTTTTTATTTTCTTTTGGTGGTGGTCCACTTTTTTTCACATCCAACTATCCAACATGCATGCCAACCAAGCATATATAATTGTGTGATCCAAATATGAACTTTCTTTCTTCGTTCCCCCCCCCAGAAACATAAACCAAAGAAATATTTGATGATTAATCATTTTTTTCAATTCTTATTCTTTTGTTTTATGACTATATGTGATCTTCATTATATTCGGATTGTATTATCGTTTTTTCTTTCAACAATAAATGGCAATAACAATCATCAGGCTCAATATGACTTTTTATATCGTTGTCTTATCGACTATATGGATTGTCATCATATTTGTAACAATAGTGATACACAACTATAAAAAAAAATTTCATATGCAAAACATCAGATGGATGGAAAGAAAAATGAATTCAACATCGATAAATGATATTCTATGGAATTCCATTCATCACTAATCATTTCAATAAGAATCTTTTGAACCGAAAAAAAGGAAATTAATTATAAGAAAGTTGCCTTTCTCCGAATTGTTTTTTTTCTCTCTCTTTTTTTACCCATCCAAACATTATTTTTTCTCTATCTTTTTTTCGGTTGGTATAAATCATTCATGTGGTGGGGTGGGGGAACAAGGGAATCCAGTTTTTTTTCTAACTTTGAAAATTCAAAATTTGTACTTTTTTTCTTAGGAATTTTTTTTTTTAATTACAATTTTCTTTCATACAAAATTTTTACTTGAAAAATGATTTTGTAAATAAATTTTTTTTTATTTATTTTAACTTTTTTTTGTGAAAAAAAAAGATTGGAAATATTGCAATTGATTGTGGTTTGTAATCAAGAATTTTTTTGATAAATAAAAACTTTCAGTTATTAATTAAAAGAATATATCCTATTGCAATTGATAAATTTGATTCACATTTTTTTTCATTTTGATTCATAAAAGATTTTTGATAAATTTTTCATGTCTTTGAACAACATTTGTTACAATTAATTTTTCAATTTCTATTGGGTTATCAGAATTTCGATCAATATTAATCAATTCGGATTCATTTGCTGTAACCAGTATAACTTTCCATTTACGTGTATTCAATTCATTTGCAATAACTAATTTATGTCCATAACGATTTAATGCTTCACGTGCTTTTTCCAATAAAATATCGGCATCAGTTTCTAGTTTGAATGATATAACAAATGCATCCGGTACCCAAAATTTAACTAATGGTCGTAAAATTTTTGGTACCATTTCAAAATGTAAACGTAATGGTCCATTTGAATGAATTTTATGTATAGCCATATTATCTGGTGGTATATAAAAATCCGATACAGCTGCAGCCAAATAAAGCATTACACGTGAACCATATTGTCGTAATAAAGCGGTCATTTCACGTAATATAAATAAATATTCGGATAATGTTGTGAATGTAATTTTCAGCAACCGGTTTGATGATTCTTTCATTTTAGTTAATGTTTGTATTAGTTTTGGTCTAATCGTTTCGGATACTGGAAAATTTTGTCAATATAAAGATAATAATTGATCAGTTCTTTTTCAGTTAAAAAAAACCAAAACAATTGATTCAAACCTTCAATTCGATCATTATTTGTATCATATTTAAGATTGGAAAATAGTCCATCAAAATGCCGGGCGAATGGTTCCAAAGATTTATGACGATATAAAAATATGATTGCATATTGGTTTGTATCGAAAAAATATCTTTCATAATCAAATGGACAATTACTATCATTAGAGAATTTCATTAACAAATCAAAAAACTTACTCGGCTGAAGCAGAACCACGAGTACCGGCACTGAAATTATCAATGAAACGTACTGTATTATGTTCCATTGGGACAGTTGTACCACCAGACTAAAAAAACAAACAAAGAATATTTTGGTGAAATAAACCAAATAGAAAAGAAAAACAGTTCATTTTTTGGTGTTTACCGTAATCAGAACAATTTTTCTATCCGAATTTTCTTGACAAAATTTTTCCGTACGATTTCTTATTTCATTTAAATTTTTTGGTCGTTGTAATTGTTGAAAAAATTTTTCAATCTTATCCAATTCTTCATTAATACTTGATTGTTGTTGTAATTCGGGCCTAAAATTTGTTGATTTTGACATCTTTATTTATTTATTTATTTATTTCATAAACATTGATCATTGAACAGATTCGGTTCTTTTTTGAATGTTATTATTTATTTATTAATTTTCTGAGCATTCAAAGATATTGGGTGCTTGAGCGCCGATGAGTACCCAAGTGTTAACACTCACAAAATAATGATTCCAGCTGACGTTGTTTTGTGTGTCGTCGTCATCATCATCATCGATAACAGTCGAAAAAAAAATCAAAATTTTGGCAACAAACACTTTTCCATGCAAGGATAAACCAAAAAAAATGGCAAAGAAAAAAGTGTTTTCCTTCTTCCAAAATCGATAATAATGTTATCAGATTTGAAAATCAAATTTTAAAATCTGTTGTCGTTTCCTACTGGGAACATTTAAAAATAAAATCTTTATTTGAATATTTTTCATTTATTTACAAACAACAATGACAAATTTCATATTACACATTCATAACAACAAACAAACAAACAAAAAAGGAAATAATTTTTTTCAAAGAGAGGATATAACAATTTTCAGTGTGTGTGTTAAAAATTTCAAACATTTTAAAAGTGTTTGTTTGTTTTGTTTTTTGCATTTGCTTGATTGATTGTCTTTTTTTTTGCAGATTTGATTATTGTTTTGACTAATTGATTCGACGATGAAGAAGCTTGGTTTAAACATTTTTCTTGATTTGATTTTGGTCTAATTCATGGTATAATGACAAGAAAAAAAGAAATCATACGAGGAATTTTTTGTATATATTGACTAGTTTTACATCTGTAAAGAATATTAAGGGTGCTTTTTTTTCATTGATGGTCATCTTATGGTCTTCATACGCGACTTGATACTTCGGTTGATGATGTTGATCTAATGTCATCAATATAAACAGTCAATAAAAATTTATGTATCATATCGAATGATGTAAAACTAATTCCAACTGCAATTGGTCCTTTAACCCAATTTAATGAAAGACCTTTATATAAACCATGTACAAAACCTTCTTCGGTGATTACTTTTTTCATTGTACCAATTATACCAAGTTCACTATAACCTTGTTGTGTTTGCATTCGTCTTCTTACAATATCTAATGGATATGATGCTGATTGACCAAATAAACCAGCCATTGCACCGAATAACATACGAAATAATGGATGAATATCATTATTGCCATAATAATCTTAATTTGGAATATAAAATAAAATCAATATTTAATTATCAAATCAATCATTTTAAATATACAAACCAAAATGTAATCTTTTAAGAGTTTCATATGTAAAAAAACTAAAACCAGCATATGGTATTACACCACATAATGTTGGTGTAAAACCACGATATAGTGAAAGAAATCCATCTTGTTTGATAGATCGAATGAACACTTGTGAAAGACTTGGATACATGCTACAAACAGCCATACGTGCACGTGCTACATCCAATGGATAGGTAGATGCAGTCGATATAAAACCTGCCATAGAACCGGCGAGAAATGAACGATGTGGATGAGCTCTCCTATTAAAAAAAAAATCATATTCAAATTACAAGAATAATTTTACAAATAATCAAACTTACTTTTGATCATTAGTTTCCACTTGTAATAAATGTTTAAATTGTTCATGACTTGAATATTGTATGGCTGCATATGGTATAACACGTGCCATTGTAGCTGAATTACCACGCCATAAATTTGTTATACCAGATTCACGATATGATTTTAATAAAAATTCCAATACAGCTGGAAATGTAAATGCTTTATTCTGTGTTTGAAAATAAATTTTCGTACGATCTAATGGCGCAATGGCCGTTTTGGCCATTGCGCCAGCTATTGCACCGGCTATTAGAGACGTGATTACTCTTTCGCTATGGGTGATTTTTTTATCGGACTAAAACAAAAAATTGAAAACAAAAAAAAATCAATAAACAAAACAAACATTTGTAGATGAAAATAATCTTATTTACCCTTACGGTCATTGAATTCTTTGGATTATGATTATCAGAATCTTGTGAATTTTTTGATTGACCAATTGGAAAATTTTGGTTGTTTCTTTCTTCGTTCGAACGAATTAAAAAAGACTTTGCGAAATTACATTCGTTTCGAACAGTAACAATATTCGCAACAAACAATATTTTGCTTGAATGTGTTGAAATTCGATTTTTGAACAAAAATAAAAAACTTTGAAATAAAGGCAATCACCGATCTCAAGTAACAAAGATCATCATCATTATCACCACCGCCGTTGCCGTCGCCTTTGTCGTTGTTAACTGATTATTGGATTTTGTTCTTCGATGGTCTGATCGATCGATCGATCATCAAATGGTGATTGGCCAAAATGATGATATAAAAAAAGTTGATAAACAGAAAGAAAAGAAAATCTAATGTAATTAAAAAAACAAAAAACAAAAAATTTGAAACAAACAAACAAAATGATATTGCAGAAAAAACACAAACAATCGGTAAATATCTGTTATTGTTCTGGTGCAATTTTTAGTGTTAAACTTTAACATTTTCAAATCATAATTTAAAGATTTTTTTCTTGATGAAGGTGAATTTCAAAGGAATACTTATGATTATCATTCAATGGTGTGTGTGTGTAAAAGTGTATAGGTACTTTTTTTCGGTAAAAAGACATTGATAAAATGAATGAATTTTGTGACACAAATGTACTTGACATTGGTGGTAATGGCAGCAAATAAAGTAAACTACTTACATTCTTTTATTTTCAAATAATGATAATGTACGAATCGAATGAATAGAATCCGATGATATTATTATCAAAACAACAATAACAAAATGTAACAACAAGAACAAATCTTATGACTGACTTAGATTCTTTATAAATCGAAACAACAACAACAGCAGAAAACTTTCAATGAATCCGATGTACTAAAGTAATATGATGATGATGATGAATGGCTGCGAAAATATCAGGGGAAAATTATGAAATCATCTTTTATTGAATTTACCATTCATATTGTTAATTTAATTTAGTTCAATGATAACATATTTCTTCTTTTTCTTCTTGAAGGTTGGATTCCATTCGAATGTTCGAACGATTGTTTTTTGTATACAAAAAAATACATTACCCCAAAAAAAAGATAAATAAAGATACACGATGTTTACACATATACGCGTGCTACTAGCATTTAGTAGCGGTATTAAGTTGGAATATCCTTTTTTCAGTAAAAAAAAAACAGTGGTTTTCAAACCTTGGTATCTTGTGAAATTCAAGAGGGTTCCCAAATCAAATGAAGAAAAAAAATCGTATCAAATATCCTTGCCTAATTACAAAAATTGATTATTTGGGTTGACAACAAATTAATCAATCAATCAATCGATTAATCGATCGGAAAAGCGTGGCCAATTTTGTTTTACCATTCAATGGATCTAATGCGGTTAATAAACACTGTTTTTTTCTCCAAAACATACACACATTGTTGATATGGCGAAGCACATGATTCGAAAATTTTTGGATTTTTTTTCAACACAAATTCAGCTGATTAGATAAAAGAGAAATCAAAAAAAAAAGTGTCATCGACAGACTAAATTGACAACGTGACAACTTAAATCATCATCGATAAAATAAATATCCTGGTGATTATCAAAAAAAAAATGTACTACAGTATTTTTCTTCTTCTCACATTTCAAATGGGCAAAACATAAAAACTCAACAAAGCGAACAAACGATGGATATCTTTCGAATGTTTCGTGCTTGTAAATTGGGTGATTTTCAAACTCTCAAGTAAATATTTAAGTAAATAAAAAGATTGATAGATGTTCTAATTACATGTTATTGTCATGATTTTTGTTTCTGTTTTTTCTTTTTTTCAAACCACAAACAGAACTTTGATCGAAACCAAAGATGTTGATGTAAATTTTCGTGATAAATTTGATTCAACACCATTATATTATGCATGTCTTTGTGGTCATATGGAAGTGGTTCGTTTTCTACTTGAACATGGTATGTCGACCAAAACAGAAAAAAAAATGTTCCAGAAAAACACTCATTGATTGAATATATATAGGTGCCAAATGTGATGTTAAAACATTCGATGGTGAACGTTGTGTTTATGGTGCATTAACCGATGATATACGAAAATTATTATTAAAAGAATATAATGTTATTAATAAGAAAATTATTCGTCGTAATGATTATGATGAATTTCTAAGAAAATTATTAAATGATACAAAATATACGGATATTATATTCAAAATACATAATAATCGTTATCAATTCAGAGCACATCGTTGTATATTAATGATACGATCAAAATATTTTTATAAAAAATTTTTGGGAAAATGGAAAGATAAACATATAATACATATTGATAATAAACAAGTAAATCCGGATGCATTTCAAATATTATTACAATATTTATATACAGGAATTGTTGAATTTTCATTCAAAATTCATGATGATGTTTGTCGATTATTTCGTCAATGTCATTTGAATAAAATAAACGAAATGATTGATTGTCATATTCAAGAATTGCAAAAAAAATCTCGTTCATCAATGTTTCGAAATAAAAATGTAACAATATTTTTAGATTTTCCTGTTTCATTGGATTATCGAAAATTATATCGAACAACATTACCTGAAGAATTTTCCGATCCAGATAATGACGACGAAAATATTGAATCAATGAAACAAACGATAACCGGTGATGTTGTTTTTCAAATTGAAAATCAACAATTTAATTGTCATAAATTATTTTTTGCTATACGTAGTGATTATTTTGCTGCATTATTTTGTGATCATTTTCAAGAATCATTGGATCATCGAAAAATTCAAACCATCGATAAAATCGATAAATTCATCATCAATGATCGTATTGATTTATTTCGATTATTAACTTGTTTCATTTATACAAATAACATTGATAATGATATAACATTAGATCAAGTATGTGATCTTCTCTATGCATCGGATGTTTATCTTATTGAATCATTAAAAAGATATTGTGCAACAATAATCGGTACGAATATCGGAAATTTTAATCCAATCGATATAATAAAATGGTCAAGGATATTGAATCTACCAAAATTAGAAGCAATAGCAACACAATATATTGCTGATAATCTGAAAAATTTTATAAATGAAAATGATTTTAAAAAATTAGTTATTGATGATGCACAATCAGTACGACAACGTCAAGAAACCGATACAATCGATATTATTGATGATATTCGTTATTATCTATCGATAAATTCAACCAAAAAAGATTTACAATATGAATTTCAACAGATTGATTTGCTTCTTCAATCATTGGAATTGGATGCTTGAAGATTTCGATTCAAGCAGTATTCATTAATGAAAAATTAATTCGACCAAAATCATTATTATTTGTATTCAAAATGATGGATGATAGATTTTTTGATGCATGTACACGCCATGATCCACCACAAACACATTTTTTTACCCATTGTTGATCCCATGCACGTGCTGCCGGTGATCTTGTTGTTGATTTTATTGATGATACTGAATTACATCTTGTACATGATCGTATTAATTCATTTGTATTTTCATCCACATAACCAAGTGAAATATTTCGTAAAACATCTATTCGTCGATCACCATGAATATTGAATGTACCTTCAATAATGGGAACTTTAACCGTATATTCTAATAATGGTGATTCAATACCATAATGAAGAATTAATGGTAATGAATGACTATATAATGCTGGGCTTGCAATTCCAATCGATTTTAAACAAATATCCATTTGATGTATCATAACTTGATTTGGTAATACACAACATTCATCAATAATTGTTTCATCAATTTTTTCCGTTGAAAGTACCAATTTGGATAATAATTTATAAATCAATGAAATAACATCAATATTTTCATGCATCTTATTAAAACTTGGTACATAATTTGCATTGATTAATGACCAAAAACGAATAATAACCAATAATTCTCTTAATGTATTCAATGATTTTACATCAAACAATAGTCCAGACTAGATAGTTTTTTTAAAAATAATAAAAAATTTCAGTTAAAACAATTGTTTTTCAATCATCATTTTTCATCATTTCTTACCCCAGGTATACGAAATTGTGGCTGATGACATTGTTGCGGAATCGATGCCAAAAGATAAAGTGCTAAATCACAAACCCATTGTAATAAATGTTGAAATGATTGTTGAATGGCTGCTTCAACACAAAAATCTTTTGAATCTAGTTTAACTAAAATTTTATCAATATTAATAAATTGTTGAATATCATTATTATTTAATGGTTTTGTTTGTATCATTGAACTAAGTTTTTCAGCCGGACCTTCATTTTCTTGATATTCACGTGCACGAATTAAACGTTTAATTGTTTCGGCAATTGCATTCAACATTTTCATTGAATAATAATCACCTGATTTATATGATAATGGACCAGAATTTACACAACGATATAGCGCTGCTTTTAGCTGTAATATTTTATCAAACCATTTTTGTTGAACATATGATGGTTGTTTTGATCCACAAAAATTTTCAGTAATTTTTTCACAAAGTATATCAACAAATTGTGATTTAACACTGATCAATATATCCCAATAATCATTACCCGAAATTAATGCATATTCTAGCATTAATTGTGCAAAATTAATACTCATCTGATTACAAGGTTCAATCATTGGTGATAAACGAAAAAAATGTAGCTGTGAAAAAGAATCAATTGCAACCATAGCACAACTACTCCATGTTAATCGTATATCACGAATAATGGATAATTTTTCCGTTATTATTTCTTGTTGATGAAATATACGATTATTATTGTTTAAATTTGAATGATTTGTTGTTGTTGTTGTTAAATCAACAGTAACTAATGATTGTAGATTTTGTCGATATAAACATTTTATAGTTTTATCTGTATAGGCAACCAATATATATGATAATGGTGGTGTTGTTTCGAATAATAATGATGCAGGTGTTGATAAAGCTGATACATAATGAATGGATGTAGTGTTCATATTGAATTTCCATTTCAGTTCGGTAATATTTGTTGTTGTTGATGATTGATTTGATTCCAATTTTTTTAAATTTTTAATAACATTATTAAATGAAACAGGGACATTACATAATTCCCATAATTCAATGATTGAACCATTTTTCCCTGAACCAACAACTACAGCAGCATCTGGACATTCACGAACAATAAATTTTAATCGACTTACAATTGGATATGATTGATGATTGGATGAATTAAGTAATGAACAATCCATATTAAAACTTTCATGTGATTGACATTGAATTTTAAGTTTTTGTTGTTGATTTTCAATTAAATTCAATGAAATTGAAATTGTATAACAATGGATTGGCATATAAGAATTACCATTAGATGTCATTATTAAAAATGATCCATTTTTCATATAAGCAATATCAATTTGTTCAATATTTGCACGGCTATTATTCAATATAGTATATTCTTGATGTATTTTACCATTCGAACCGAATAGATGTGCATAAACAAAACCAGTACCAGTTATACAAAGATAACCATCAGTATGTTTATTACCAAATTGTACAACTGATGCTTGTAAACGATCATAATTAAATTTTTCTTGATATTGAACATCCAGATCTTTTTTATCATAATCGACCATAATTTTTTGGCCAGAATGAAACCAAATACCGGCAATAATACGATCACCAGCAAAACAACATGAATGATGATCTAAACGTTGCCAATCGGAAAGAAGAAAATCACGCATCGACCATATTTCAATATTACCCATATCATCACCGATTAAAAGTTTACCACCTTTATTATCCCATTCCAATACGGTAATGTTTTCATCATGATCTTTAACACGATATGGATGATATGGTAGATTTAAATCAACAACATAAACTCTAGTTTTAAGTAGATTATTCTCTTCCGAATCATCTAAAAGATCAAAATTCGAAGTAAATGCCAGAATATTATTATTGGATAATGATGAAATGACATTTGAAGAACTAAGTAAAAAAACAAAGAGTTAAACAAACAAACAAACAAACAAACAATCATTATTTCATACCCATCTTCAAGAAAATGTCGATGATATGGTGCAACATCAAAACCAAAAACCGAATAAAGATGATCCATTTTGTTTGGGGAATTTGAAGAATATTCGAGTGAGATTTTTTGGAACAAAGAAAAAAATCATGTGTCACCTAAAGTGACAACTATGTGATTGCCAAAGTGGAAATAGTCGAAAATGATTTTTTTTGGGTGAAAAAAAACACAAAGCGAATTTTGTGTTCATTTTTGTTTTCTTTTCAAAATTAATTAAATTGCAAAAAAAAATATCATTTTAAACGCCTGGCTAAATTTAGCAAACAATAAAAAAAAATAGAAAGTTTTCCTTGTTACGGTTATGGTTATTGTCGACGTTGTCGTCTGTCAATGCTTAAATGTTGATTTAAATCGACAAAAACAACAAAACGTCTTTGCCAACCTTTTTGCTTTTGTTTTTTTGTTTTTTCACATCATTCATAATTGATTACAAAATAGGTACGAATAATACTTAAATAATTTACAAATTTCGAAACAAAGCCAATTTGAATGTATAAATTCCTAATCGAATAATCAAAATAAAAAACAAATTTACAAATGGGTAATCTACTGTATTCGGTATGTGGTATTTGATTGGGTTCATGTGTATTTTATTTTGTTGTAATTTTGTTATTAATCAAATTTTATTTACAATTTTACAGAGTAAAAAAAAGAATGCCAAAGAACAATTGGAAGATATACAAGAAGAAATCTATCAAATTGATAAATATAAATTAACATCATTTTTACGGCAAAAAAATTATCTTGCTTTGGTTTATTTTCTATTCATATTAATCTATCCAACCGGTTTGGTTTATATTTATTTTACATTCGATAGTAATAATAATCGAACACAAATATTATATTCATTATTATTTATAATATCGCTACCGATTTTGTAAGTTTTTTTTAAACATTTTGGATTTTCTAATGAATTTTTCTTATTTTTTCTTTTGATCAAAAAGTGTATATCTATTTCGAAAATATTTACATTTGTATTTCAAATGGATAACCGAAAATAATAATATACGTTTAGTGCAATTATTGAAAGAAAAGAAAAAAATTTTATCCAAAGTACAGGAAACAGAAACATTTAATGATGCAAAATGTATATTGGAAAAATATGATCCATCATTATTAAGAAATCTTTCACTTTCATTGAATAATCTTTCACAAATTGATAATGCTCCAACAGCGACACCGATTCGTGATCGACGTACAAGTACGTTTAGTCATCAACAACAACAACAATCACAACAACAACCATTACAATCGCAAAACAATAATTTAAATAATCGTTTAACATCACCAATAAGAAATTATAATCCGAATCGAATATCGGGACAATCATTACCACCGCAGATGAATCGTAATTATATGACGCAACAACCACAATCATCATCAACAACAACTAGTAATCAACAGCAACCAGGAATGATTAATATATCAACAACACCAATGATCGGACAACAACGTACAATCAAACCAATATTACCACAAAATCGTAGTACAGTTGAAAAAGTAATTGATTATATGTTTAATGATGGTCCAAATAATCGTTATGCATTAATTTGTCCACAATGTTTATCACATAATGGTATGGCCTTGCCGGATGAATTTGAATATATTGCATATATTTGTGCATATTGTGGTACATTTAATCCATCACGTAAAATACGGCCAGCAGCACCTTCGCAACAACCGCAACAACAATCGCAACAGCCGCAGTCACAACAAAAAGCAATTGAACCACCGCCACCGCCATCGCCACAATCATCATCAAAACCAAGAAATCTAAAAATTGTTGAATTATCAAGCGTACTCAATAAAACGGTATGTAGATTAAGGGATTTCATCATTTTTTCATTCTGTTAATCCATTTTTCTATTTTCTTTGAAAAACAACCACCATATAGATGGATTCGACAATAAATAAACCAACGGTTGAAGAACCATCGGATGATCATCATAGTGATAATGATAAAAAATCGAAAAATGAACGAAATGAACGAATTCGTTCGATTGATTCATCAAGCGATGATGAATGATTGAATGAAGAAGAAAACGACAACAACAACAAACCAAACAAAACAACGATTTATTTATTCAATGATTGATTATGATTCTTTCAAACCAAATTTTCATTGAATGAATCCTGTTGCATTTTACCGTTTGAGTAAAAGAAAAATTAACGTATCATCCTCATCATTATCATCATTTTTTTTATACTCATCAAAATGTTATTGAAACGAAATTTTGAAAATTTTCGTATTGATTAAAACAATTTTTAAAAAAAGAAGAAAAAAGCAAAGGAAAAAAATCAATGTGTTGAGTGAGTGTTTGTTTGTTGAGTGTGTTTGGCAGTATTCGAATGTAGAATGATTCGAATCAAGAATTCGAATGAAACAATTCGAATGATCACATGGAATAAGATAGATTCATATAAAACTTACATAACAAAAACTCAATGATATAAATGAAACAAATGGACATTACATATAAATAAAAAAATAAAGATTGATAATTAAGATTTGATATAAATGTTTGGTCGAAAAAAAAGAAAGGCAATTTTTTTTGCCATATGAGTAGATCAGGTTTGTAAGTTGAAAAACAGGGCAAACAGACAGAATATTACGGCTGTAATATTGATGATGATTCTTCAGTTTTGATTAAAGCATTACCAAGATTATTCAGTGAATTGAACGTAATCGAAGTTTGTTGTTGTTGTTGTTGTTGTTGTTGAAGATTAAGCTGATGATTACCATCAATAATCTCTTTTTTTACTAATGAATTAGTAATTTGTGTAATTTTTAAATTTAACATTGATGATTCTAAACGATCAACTTCTTTAATGGCAACTGATTTTTCATTTTCAATTGCATGTTTACGATTTAATAATTGTTTTTGTTGTATTTCAAGAATTTGTAAACGATTTTTTATTTTCTGTCGACTACGTGCAGCTGATTCACGATTTTTTAAACGTCTTGTTTGTGTACGATCATGATAATCACCACCATTACCATTACCATTACTATCAATATCTTTACCATCACCAATGCTGATGATACTATCCGTTGTTGATTGTGATGATGATTTTAATAATGATACATCGAATACATCATCTATATAGCCATCACCACCACCACCACCGCCGCTATATCCCGATGAATAATTTGTATCTTGTGTTTCGGCTGATGTCGGTGATCCAAGAAATGATGATGATACGGAATCTTGTGATGAACAACCAAATAATGATTCTTGTGATGAACGAAAATTGAAACGATTATTATTAAGATCCATATTCCTTATTGTTTGATTTGTTGTTTTAAATTGATTTTTTGGTAAATTAAAAAAAAAACTGCACAGAGAGGAAAAAAAGCATCTTTAGTGCATTGGTTTTTTTTCTCTCTCTCTCTCTTCGTTATCACATATAAAAACAACATCAGACCCAACAATGTTGAAATATTGTATTACTTACAACACAACCTGTGTGTGTGTGTGTTTTGACTGTTTCAACAATATTATCTCTGATATTGTTGAAATAGATAAAAGGAAAAAGAGAGAATTTCGAATGAGAAATTCGAATGTTTGCATGTTTTGTATTTTCGAATTTTTTTATTTTTATTTTTATTTTATTTTTGTTTTGTTTAATTTTTGGAAAATCGAAAATATCGCCAAAAAGCAAAACTATCGTGGACCTTGAGTTGTTATCTCTGTTCGAGGGGGAGTGGTGAGAGCGGTTTGCCGAATCGTTAAATTTTTAAAATCCGCTTCAATGGTGAAGTTTTAATGTTTACAGATTCTTTGACGTGACATATACATTTTTCGAAATTTACTATCGTCATCGGTAAATATCGGTAATTCAGTCAACTTATTCAGTCAAATATATCACCTCCTGATCATTTTCAAGATATTTTTTTCATCGCTATATTTATTCGAAAAAGAATCATTTCAGCAGGCAATTTATTTGCAGCCATTCAATGGAACTTGGTCTAATTTTGGTTAAAAAAAATAAAATAAAATTCTTGAGATGGTTTTATTGCTGAATATAACATATATCATAAAAAACCTGGACAAAAAAAAAGACCCACACTGTACAATGGAAAGCATCTTGGAATGTTACCGATATATTCATTATCGATTGGTTTCGAATACTATTAGATGATATGGTTGTCATTTCATTGGATCTAACCATTTGGAATTCAGAAATTCCAAACAACCGATCGATTGGACCTCAAAATTCGACCAAGAATCAAATTGACTGAAAATCAAATTATCCGCAAATATTACCAACATTTTTTGGCAAAACTACAAAGAATGATTTCAGTAAATTTTCAATTTTTTTTACCAACATTTTTTCTGAAATACCAACCTTATTTTGAAATAAAATCTGTCACCTTTTTTGCCACAAATCAAAACAAAACAAAAAATTGGTTTTTTTCATATTTTTTATTGAAAACAAAAGATCATCAAAGATAAATAAATAAATCAAAAAACAGATCCCAACATGGAAGCAACAAGTTTTATGCAAGAGTAAAACTTATTTCTATTTTGTTTTTTGGAGTTTTCTATCATCCATTTTTAATATGACTGAATCGAAGGATTGTTAATGAAATCGTTACCGATGGTAATGAATTGGGATACTCGGATTTGAAGATCTCAGAGATACCATTAAGTATCGTTTCGTTTTGAAGAGCTAGTTCCAATGTTTTATGATATTGGTTGTTAGTCATAATTCGGAGATTTCGTTCCAAACATCGATTATGGTGATATCGGTAAAATTTTCAAAGTAAAATTTTCGAAATATCATTTATAGTTGATTGAGGAATTCCGCGTAGTTATTTTGGTAATTTGATTGGATCGCTGTATCGATTGACACTTGCATCAAAGTTTTTTTTTCAGAAACTTTGTAAAAGGCTTTTCACTTTTTTGGAGCCAATTATTCCCATGCTATTCTCTACATGGAACGAAGAATTTACCATTAATGGCCCGTATAATCTCACAACTTCAGGGAGATGATGTATGATTACATGAACGTTATAACGATGCATGTCCGCTGGATATAATTTACTGAATTCAATCGTAAATTTATCACATTTTTTAATTACGTCTTTAATGATCGGCTTTGTGAGATTGGAAATTATATCTGAAAACAATGCAAAAATTTTAAATTCAGCATCTCTGGAATCACACTACCATAAAAGCATGATTAAGCCATAATATTAAAATATTTTCGTAATCGGTTGCTTTTAATTTATTGCTCGATTGGGTTGAATCTTCTTAAAATTTGGGAAGGAAATTTTGATTTCGATTTCATTCAAACCAATATTTATATTTATTGTTTTTTGTGTACAAAGGCACGTGTTTTTTATATCATATTATAATGGAAAATGTTCGAAATGAACAACAGTAAAGACAGTATTCGAATAAAAAAAAACGAACAAAGTTCGATTATCGAACCTTTAATTTAACATGTTTGAGGATTGTGCTCGTTTTCGGAAATATAGAACTGTTTCCGAAAAGTTTCCTGGCAAAAATGCAGCGTGAATATTTCGAAATATAAAAATGTTTTGGAAAAGTTCCTTGGCAAAAGTTCAGTTTGAATTATCGATCATAGATGGCGATATATGTTTGTTTTTAGTTTTTTTTGGTTCTGCATTCGAATCATTCGAATATTCGAATCTATTCTGGATCATCATTATCATTATCAAAAATCATCATTTTTCGGTTGTTTTTTATCCATTTTCGATTTCAATTTTTAATATTATTTTCTTTATCCATTTATCAATTGAAATTATTCTTGATTTTACAAAAAAAAAACATCAAATATCAATATGAATGTGATAAATATTTTCTTAAATTCTTTACTTTTTTCCGAGATGTTTGTTGTTGTCATGGAACTATGTTTTTCCCCATTCTTCTCGTTGTTGTTGTCATTTGATGTTCCACACATATTATTCGTTAACCAACAACAACAACAACAAAAATGATAGACTTTGACAGAGATATTTTTCTACGAAAAAGAAAAAAATGAATACACATTGTTGTTGTTGTTCAATTTCCATTCAAATTTGCCGTTCTTCGTGTTCTCTCTGTATGTTCAACTTTTTTTTTCGACAAAGACTTTTCTTCGTTTCTTGGTTTATAAAAATAGTGAATATGCTATATATGCTGTGTTTGTATGTGATGGGCAAAACTAATCCATCATTTATAGGCGACAGTATGGCTGAAATTGTTGTATGTATGTTTGCTGTTTGCTGTGTTATAATACCAAATTGTCAGATGCAGTGAATGAATGGTAAGAAGAAATTTTTATTTTGAACAAATATAATAATAATCTAAATACATAGGGACCTCACTCATTTCATTTCATCTCATTTTATTTCATTTTATGCAGGTGCTGTTGTTGTTCTTCATCTCTATTCTTGTTGTTGTTGGTGGTGGTATGCGTGTCGATAATGTCTATGGATAATGACGACGATGATGATGATGATGTTGGCTGGTGGCTCAAAAAAAAAATGTTTGCCTGTTTGGTTGGTTGGTTTGGCTGTTGAATGATGTTTTCAACAAAACAACAAAAAAATCCATTTCCCCCCACCGATGAAAAAAAAAGGTTATTCTGGAAACAAAAAAATCACGTGTTTATTTCCCATTGTTGATGGTGGTAGAATCCCTTCGATTGATATCGATTGATTGATTCGATTCGAATGGGATTCTTTTAAATAACGTTATTTATTTTTGGATTTACACCCTCACCGACCAACAACCAAATAAAATTCCCTGATGTCATATTATTTTGTCATTAGCATTTTTGGGATTTTCGGGTTTTGGTTGGCTGTCGGATTTGTTGTTGTTTAGTTGATGATTCGACAATTTGATGAATCAATTCTGTTCAAAATTCTCGACATTTTTTTTTAATTTTTCCATAAAAGAATAATGAATTGGTTTGAAAGGTGTCATAACAATGGTGGATGGTTGGTAGATATTTTTAATATTGAAATGTCAATCAAAAAATCAAAGAAAAATTTCCATAAATAACTCTCTATCCCCATTGATTCTGTATGGCAAGCGAAAATGAAGAAATCATCATCCACAA